TAAAAAAGTTTTGGCTCAAGATCGGCAAGGTTTATAAAAACATTGTAAATGCTAATAACGAGTAAAATTGTCATTAAGTTCGATCGTAATGGAGATTCGACACACTGTTCCCTTTATCTCCCCATCCCGTCGACCTTTATTATCAAAATTTAACACCATGAATTCCTCTAATACACAAACCTCCCTAAATAATATCAGAAATTTTTAAAATTGTATACTTATATTACTATTTAAATTTCTTTTGTATTTTCAGAATTGCACTTAGTATCTTTATCACGTGGGTTATTATTGGAACAATTCTCGAAACTGTGTTGAAAATTAAAGTAATGAATGCTCCTTGCGATAAGGGTATGATAATAATTAATATAATTGCATTATTATGAAAAATATAATTTTATTAGTTAATTCTAAATCTTCTAATTTCCATTTTCATCTTTCTGGAGTCAGGTCTTTCTCTTTTGGTTTTCCACTCCTGTCTTTTGCCTCAGATGTCTTATTGTAGCAATCACATGTCTACCAGGTTTTCCATGAATGATCTTGTTTCCATTAATTTTAAGCTTTACCTCTCTTCCAACGGATGCTGACTCGAGTTCCTACCACATAACAATATCATCTCAATCTGCTTTCCATGAACTTTTCTTCTGTTGCTGTCATTTCTCGGCTTCTAATGTGTCTTTTTACTTTTCCTTTTAATACCCAGTATTTTATTACACAAAAATTCTATTATTAAAAATTATATAAAGCATCTGCACAGAGTCAAAGATATTTATGAAATTCTTTAATGGTCTTCTTATGAATGTTGAGAAGGTCCTTAAAAAGAATAGTTAATACCAACAATATGAAATTCTACTGTGGTTACTCTACAGTGTACTCTGTGTGTTACACTGTACAGTATACAGTTTCATATTGTTTATAGTGTCATACGTATAATACAGTGTCATGTGTAAACATTGGATAACTTGACAGATTAACCATGGTGTTTCTGTAAGCATTTTTAAATTATTAAACGGTAAGGTTGCTTACAAAGTATCTTTGTAACAGGTTTGTAGAATTTTAAATTTGTATTTATTATTAATATCTGAAAATATGCTTTTGGTTTTTAGGCAATTTTCTACAGAATTTAGTTTCAGTTTCGATATGTAAATCAACTGGAAAGCTTTTCAGTGCCGACTTCAATGGAAAAACGAGCTTCTTTTGTGGAATGAAATTCCTTCTTGTGTGTGTTGTTGTATTTGTTCATATACTTATACATTCGGGATTGGTATACACAACAACAGGTAAGACAGAACGAAAAGTAAAGTCAAATTAATATCTTTTAAGGAATTAACTTGGTTATAACATTTTATTTTTATTTGCATAATAATAAACGCGTAATTTTATACAAAATAATTAAACAATTTCTTACGTACGTAAAGGCGTTTTATCTCCAGAAAGAATTTGACCTAATTTATGGGATCGGAAAATCCTCAAGATGTTTTTAATAAGCGATTCAATTCTGTTCTGCGTCAATCTTTGTTTCCCTGATATGCCCAAATTGAATTTAAATATTTTTACTACGGTAGTGAGTTTATAAAAAATCGGTTCGTCGTTCCCTGCTTGTGGGGGTCCCAGGCCCATAGGATAACACGCCACTGCTTGCCTAAACACACATAACTAGTGTGATTAAAACGACTGTGTCAGTGCCATAGGATGGAAAGAGTTTTAAAAAAATAAAAGAGAAAAGAGCTACCCCTTGACATATGTTTTAAAAATGCGACCTCTATTTTATTTATCACCTACTACATAATTAATATTGTGATAGTTGAAAAAAGAGTCAAAATAATCAATTGAATCAAACAGATTTTATTTTAAATCTGATTTACAAAAGAAAAGACGAAATTTTTATATTTTACACTGTGACAAAAGTAGAGCTACCAAGGGAAGTATGCAGATTTGTCTAGTTTGTGGTTATGCCACAAAATACTAATATTTTTAGAACAAAATATTAGTATTTTGTGGCATAACCAGAGCTTCTGATCACTGCATCACGTCTACGTTTCATTGAATCAACTAAGTTGTCTGGAGGAATACAATTATCAAATGATATCAAACAAAGAATGGTAGATACGCGTTTGAAGAAGAAAAAACCTTTATTGAAATTGGTAAAATCTTTTATATGCATAAAACCGGTGTCGCGAAAATGGTGAAGTGTTTTCAAATATATAGGACCATTGTTTCTGCGAAAAAGTCAGGTAGAGACCACGAAAAAAACACCACAGTTCGATCTTTTGATCAGGCGTACGAGTGCAGCCAACCCTTGTTTGACTGCTTCAAATATTAAACGTGAAGTGGGTAACCCAAATATAAGCTTAACGACTGTACGAAGACGTTTGACTAGTTTTGGATTACATGGGAGATGCCCAGCAAAGAAACTACTCATCTCTGCAAAAAACAAAAAGTTAAGATTAGAGTTTGCACATGAACACATCACTTGGACCAAAAAAAAAAATGGTCCAAGATGTTATGGAATGATGAATCTAAATTTAATGTCTTCTGTAGTGATGGTATACGATATGTCAGACGACCAGTGAACATGCAATATGACCCAAAATACATAGTTTTTATAATAAAGCATGGTGGTGGCTGCATAATGGTATGGGTATGTTTCTCTGAAAAGGGTATTGGTCCAATTTATAGAATTAATGGAATAATGGATCAAACCGCGTATCGAGACGTATTGCAAAATCAAATACTTCCTCATACACGTCGTTCAATGTCAAGGAAATGGATTTTCCAACAGAAACCAAAACACACAGCAAATTTGGTAAAGCAATGTTTTAACAGTAAAGAGTGAACCTTATGACATGGCCAGCCCAATCTCCAGACCTAAACCAAATAGAGAATCTTTGGGGTGAAGTTGAGTGCCGTATGAGCCAGCGTACATATTCGAATCAGGATGAATTATGGTCTACCATTCAAAAAGCATAATATGAGACTCCCAAATCACTGCTTGATAACTTAGTTGATTCAATTAAACGTAGATGTGATGCAGTGATCACAAGCTCTGGTTACGCCACAAAATACTAATGTATTCTTCTAAAAATATGGGACAAATCTGCATACTTTCTTTGGTAGCTCTACTTTTGTCACAGTGTAAAATATAAAAACTTCGACTTTTCTTTTGTAAATCAGATTTAAAATAAAATCTGTTTGATTCAATTGAGTATTTTTATTTAATTTTTTTAAACTATCACAATATTAATTATGTAGTAGGTGGTAAATAAAACAGAGGTTGCATTTTTAAAATATATGTCAAGGGTAGGTCTAGTTTTGGACACTATCATCTTACATAGTTTTATAAGTCAGACACATCATAAATACTTTAAATTTTTCTATGTATTCTATACCATAAACGAAAATCTAATGATTTTTACAGTTTTAAATAAGAAACATTAAAATTTTCAAAAATAATTAATTATTTATAATGTAAAATTTAGGAAATTTATTCAACATAGTGAATATTTCTGATGATGTTCCTGTAGAAATTTCATCTCAAGGAATGTCTTTGATTGAAACATTCTTCTTTCTGAGGTAAATACATCATTTTTTTTCTTTATAAATTATCTTATAAAATGCAAAATGCATTACAAGTTATATAAATTTATATTTGCAAGACAATATAAATAGTATGCATTCAGAATGACCTTTTGTACAGTACACGTGATTATTTCGTAATTTCTTTTAACAAAAAAAATTAATTTTTTGTTTATTGTTTTTAAACTGTTTTACGTTAATTTATGTTTGATAAAATAAATAAATAATTAAACTATTATTTTAATTCTAACAGCGGATTTTTAACATTCTATTTACGAAGAAACGAAGAAGAAAACTCCACATTGAACTACTTCATGTTTTTCATCAAGAGATACCTAAGGTTAAATTAAATATAAAACGATTCTTTTCATTCATATTTATTTATTTAATTAATTTCATTTAAATTTTATGAATATTGTATTAAAGATTGACTTTTCCTTTGCTCTGCGTATTGGCATTCTTCATTATTTTGCCACTTGCTGGCGAAGGACCTCATTGGGATCTCGTATATCGAGAAGCAGAAAGTGCAGAAGTGCACTGGTGGCGGTACATTCTTCATATTCAGAACTTATACAACATGCCTCTAGATGTAAATTCTGTACATTTTTCTTCTCAATTAAAACTTGATTAAAATAAATTCATAAATTTATTCATTTCTTTCAGTTTTTTATACATTTATGGTTCGTTAACGCGTTGATGCAGTTGACAATAATCACTGTTCCTTTATTGTACATCTATGACAGGTAAGAGTGAAAATATTTTTATAATTTCTTTCCCTCTTCTGACCGTTCCATGTTTATTTTATTCATTAATTAATTCTTAATATTTAAGAATGTTTAAATTGAACAATTAGTAAAATTTCACACAACATGACAGGGTTTGGTTGGATTTTCGATCTGAATGATTTGGTTTCATGGGCGATTAACCAAGGGGAGATGCATTCCGGGAGAACATTTCATGGTAAATTTGTCCCTCGTTAGGTATTACAAACGTGAGGAATACACGGATAACTCCATGTGACAGCCTGTTAAACAGGCATGAACCCACGACCTGTGTTTAGTGTTTTCATTTACCCGGCCACTGATGGGCAATTTTCGATATGAACTATCAGTTTTTATGGGCAAGATATCGTTCTCCATCTTTATGCTGTAGCGAGTGTAGGAAGGATTGAGTATCGGTTGGTTGTGTGACGTGTGGCATGTGATGCACACGTTGTGAAATTATAATGGGCAGTGAGAAACTTGGGCAGTTTTCCAATGTTTTAATGTGCATTTCAACGTTCTCTGATAATAATTAGCATAATCACAATACTTCAAAAATGGTAGCATTCTTTTCGGAAGACGCTGTATATTATGTTATATATATATTTAATTTATACTTTACTTTTAAATTACAGTTATGTATTATGTATGCAATACATTATATAACTTTTGTGGAACGATGCACTATATTAAATTTGACTTGAATTTAGTAAATGCTATATTGTTTTTCAGGTGGCCAAAATTAGGAAGTGCAATATTAGGTATTCTGATGGTTGCAGGAGTCATATCACACGTCTGTCAGTCTCTAATTACGAAATATGTCACGATCGTCGGTTTATCAATAAATCTTGAGTATGTATTTTGTTGAATATAATCAAATTTGTATATTTTATGAAATAAATGCATCAATTCTTCTGTAGGGTTACATTAATAATGCAAGCTTTGCTTGCTAATTAATTTTTGGCAAGCTCATTGTAAATTCGGCCATGCACACAATAGGGCTGCCGGATGAATTAGGGGCCCTATGCCCCCCAAAAATTTATGGGTTTTCCGTCACGTCTGAATTCTATCCAGGGTACTCCAGAGCGGTAGAATGTCACCTGAGATACTGTACTTGAGTTTAAAATGGGAGCGAACGGGCGATCAGTTGACACTCGTCATATAGCAGTCAAAACATTCACGAAAATTTTTGAATATATGAAATTTCTTAACTGCTGAGATGACTTCACACTATGTTTTTATGCATGGACTCAATTTACATGGAATAGATCTACTATAACTGAAGACAATTGCAATGTATAATCCTGAATTTGATCACGAAATTCTGGTTATAATATTATTTAAGCCTGATATTTCATCCGAAATCTAAATACTGTAGTCTAGATAAGGGTCACCAAACTTTTTTCACAGCAGGCCAGATAACTAAGAGAATGAGGACCGCGGAACGTATAACCATTTTGTTCAATATAGTGTACAGAATACACAAAAAATAAAGAAATTCAACATATTTATTTACCAATACACAAACACGATGGCAGCAGCGAGCTCGTAATCGCTTTTCTTAGAAACTTCATTGCGGATCCTTACACAAAAACGGCTCTGATATACAAAGTTAAAAAATTTGCCGAATTTTTAATTTCACTAATTTTCTTAAAAATTATATTACTATCAAATACAAAATCCAGATTGAACCAATTTTGGCATTTTTATTTACACTTATTTTAATTTTTTTACATAGTGAGTTCATCTACAATCTATGATATTTCTATATAATTTGCGGGCCGTAGTTTGGTGACCCTGGTCTAGATTAACAAGCCGTTGCTATTTTTTTTCCATACTCACTGATCCCAAGTGAGAGTGAAATTGTGGCCAGCCATTTTTCATAATTTGTTGGTGCATTACTTCAACTAATAAATTAATCAACGTGAAAGAATCTTCTATGAAAGAAAGCAGATAATCAGTTGATTTAATTAAAGTAATTGTGATTGATATCATTTATAAAATAAATTTATTATTTTCTATATTTATCTGAACTTTCTTCCGATAATTCAATATTTTTCATGTAAAAATAACTTCCTAATGTTAATATGTTTACAGAAAACTTGAAAATCTCTTCCTCCATATCTATGAAAAACCATACTTCACACATCTCAGTTCTTACTGCTTGGGATTATTAATGGGATACGTTTTATCTAAAAAGAAACAAGTAAATCTGCGAAAGGTATGTGATAATTAAATATTCTCGGGGTTGGTTGCTTGTATTTGATTCCAGATTCCCCAGAATAGGTTGAGTATCATTTTAACTTCCTCATCCATTGTTGGAGGAGGCCATTTGACTGTAATAGCAAAATTTTATCTACTTTATTAATGTTTTTCATTAAATAATGGAAATAATCTTGACTCTAATAACTTTAAATAAGTGTATCATGAACTTGAAATTTGATTTTAAAAATCGATATTTACCATACTTTTACAGATGATTGTTGTTTCGTGTTGGATTACGACAACTGGTTTGATTGGGTTAATCTTCTTCGGTTTGCATAATTATAGAACTGTCGCTGCTCCAAACGAATCAATTATTTTTGCGCATCAGATTCTTTCTCCAATTGCGTGGATAGTGGTAACAGCTTGGATATGTGTTGCCTGCTTATCAGGAAACGGAGGTAAGTACTCATGGATTCAGCTGTATGCAGCATTGAAAATTTTACATTTAAGTTTTAAACGAAAATAGTAAAAAATGTTAATGTACGATACATTAAAGTGACAGAAAAGTAATGAAGTTTTGGCATTTTAAACACAGTCAAATTTCGATATAGCGCTATTCTCGTAAAACGCCGACGATTACTCGTGAACCAATCTAAAATTGTATGCTATGGCAGTGAAAATGTCATTGTTAGTTTGTTGGATGTGATACAGATGAGGAAAACCGCCTATTTTAGTGGTCCCCAATTTCCGGGTCAAATTTCATGTGACTTCCTGTTAGGTATCCAAAAGATACAGTTTACGCACTTCATTTGTTCAATCTCTCCGGGATTTTGGTAAAGGATCACTCGTGTTGTAGAGGTTATCAAACAGGATATATTATATTTCATTGGATAATGAAAAAATTCTAATAGTGCTTGGAAGTGTGGAGGGGTAGGTGAGTGATGCACATCACGCTTACGCAATTGCACTGTCAAGATTGTTCATGACTGTATAAAGCAAAACACCTATCTGAAAAATTTCTCCATTGTATTCTGAATAGTGAAATTATTCATACTTAATATAGAAATTATATTTTCAAGTATTTTTTATGTAAATGTAATATTTTGATATTATTGTAGGTGTGGTGAATAAGTTCCTGTCATTGGAATTCTTCGTTGTAATGGATCGTCTAACATTATGGATTTATCTTTTGCATCCTGTATTTATTCTTTATCTTTTTGGGGAATTTAGGAGTCCACAACCATTTACGGAAATAAATCTGGTAATAAAACTTTACTGAAAATTTTAATGAAATCTTCAAGAATAAAATATTTGAAGAATTTTTAATATACAGGGTGTTCCAGAATTCTTTCCCTGATTACAAACATGCAGAAGGCAGAAAATATGACACATAGACACATATCTTTTATCTTGAATTGCAAGTAACATATTCAAGTTTTTGTGTGTACTTACATACTCGTTAATAAATTTCGACATGTGCTCCTTTCGTTGCTCGAAGGATATCCAGGCGATATTCCAATTCCACCCATACATTGGTCAACATATCGTGAGGGATGGATGTTATGACATCAGTAATTCTGCGCCATAATACTGCGATGTCGCTCACTGGTGTTTCGTAAACTTGGTCCTTGACATAACCCCAAAGGAAGACAACCAGTGGTGTTATGTCCGGTGATCGCGAAGGCCAGTTGATGCGACCATCACGCACGATCTATCTTTCCCGAAATGCTGTATCTAAATAAGCACGAACATCTAATCCCGAATGAAGAAACGCACCATCTTGTTGGAAAATTAAGTCCGAAATGTCCTGAATCTGTGGCACAACAAATAACTGCAACATATCAAGATAGGTATGGTGTGTGTTCTGTAACAAACAAAGTAACATTATGTATGTACACATACAAACTTGAATATGTTACCTGCAATTCAAGATAAAAGATATGTGTCTATGTGTCATATTTTCTGCTTCTGCGTGTCTGTAATCAGGGAAAGACTTCTGGGACTCCCTGTATATATATTTACATAATTTGTTATAAGTTTTTATAAATTATACATATATAATTATTCTTTAAAGTTCTAAACAAGTAAAATCTAATTAGAAATACCGTTAAAACATCGGTGGTTATGTAAAAAGATATGCAATTGTACACGATATTCTTTTTGAATGACATTCTTTGAATTATCCAATCAACGTCATTAACCAAATTTTAATAAATAATTAAGGAATTTATTTAGTTGGCCGATTGACCGAAGTAGTTAAAGCGAACAGGTTCGGATTTATACATAAACAATAAGCTACTATATATTTTAACTGATGTACAGTAAACACAGACACCCGTGTATACTGTATGGAAATACTATGCAATACAGACCTATATACAGTAGTGGATCATATTAATATTTCTCTAATTAAACAATTCATTATTACAACTTAGTCATTAAAATAGCTAAATCATCAAATAGTTTTTGATTTATTTGCTGCAAACGAGATGTAAATTCTTCATCACTTGTTCAATTCTTTCAGGATTTATATACGTTTTCTTATCTATATATATAAAAATGAATATATGTGTGTGTCTGTCCTTCATGAATTATCACGCCGTTTATCTAATTGCCGTGAAACTTTTGGAAGTGGTTTAATATACTCCCGCGTAGGTTTCTGGCATAGTACATTTATCCTACGATAGATGGCGCGAGTGTATACGAGCATCGTGAGTTCGATCGATTTCAAATTGTGAAAACCATTTCCCCCTCCAAAAAATATCTGTATACAGTATATGCATTTGTCAACTGTTATTTACGATATTTGTAATAATTTTTGTTTAATCACTTTATTTCAACTTTTTTTTTGCTAATTATGTATTCGCTCGAACTTTGTTAAAACCTTAACTGTATCCTGAACAACAACTGAAGTTGTAGGAGGAAATTCGCCTATTTTACCGATTTAGGGATCCCTCCTTTTCCAAATTTTAATATCAACTCACAATAATTTAAAAAGACAAATTACAATAAAACTGTTTATTATCCAACTATCAGAAATCTCACAACATGCCAACGAAGAGAGGAAGGAGCAATTAATTAATTAAAATTGTAAAGGATTAAAAAAATATATATATAAAAATGGGGAATATTGCACTTCTGACAATCGCAGCGAGTGTGTGGGCTAAATTTGGAGAATCCGTGCTTCTCGCATGGACAACTGTATGTGGCCGGCTCACGCGTCGGAAAACCTTCTGATTTATTCGTGTACGCACCAGACGGAAAAACAATAAATATCGTGTATCCACAAGCACTCCAATAAATAAATAGAATTGAAACGACACTTTGAAATGTTTTTCCGACGAAAATGAATAATAATAATAATAACTTTCAATAAAAATAATAAAATGTAAATTGAATTTTATCATAACGAGTTTGCTTAAATTTCCTTTCTTCTGAGATCGCAGCAATGCGCGACGGGTGAGCTAGTTCCTAAATAAAAGCGAAAGTTGTTTAGCTTGAAACTGTAATAAATAAGAAGGCCTTGTTAGACCTTTTTAGCGACCACAGATTCAGGCTAAATAACTTTGTTGTAGGTTCAGCCAGGCCCAAAATGAGCATTCGGAAGCGAAACAGTAATTCATGTATTTAATTACTATTTAGCTCATGTCTTTTAAATGTGCATTTATTTACTTATATGGATTTAAACAAACCGAGAATATTGAATTTATACAATTTATTATATTGTATGTGTGTATGATTAATATAAATTTATATATTTTCCAGTGGATGACGTTCCTATTAGTGATGCTACTCTCTGTAATTGCATCAATTTTCTGCTACATCTTTTTACAAATTCCGTTCACATTTATTCTATTCAAAGTAGTTTTATTAAAAAATTCTAGAAGGAATATTCATTGTAACGATGAAAATGTAAAAATGGAAACATTAAGAATACAGGAATTACCAATTCGTAACACAATATAAGAAATGTACCGATATTTGAGGAACGAAGAGATGAAATGCACCCAAACTATCGATGAATCAGCATTCAACTTCATGTAAAAGTCATAAATATATGTACATAAAATAAACAATAAATAAATAAAATTTTCCATAAACATTAAGTGGCTTTCGTATGACGATTGCTGCACAAAAATGAAATTTTTTGTGCTCCATCGAGTGTAATGCCCATATTAAATGGCCGCGGTTACACAGGATTTTGAATTATACTGTAATAATAAATTGTAAGTAGGAAAGCAGCGAGACGTAAAAAAGTCTATAAAACAAAACATTTTTAACATTAGAAAAGTTTTTGTACATTTTGAAGTCGTTCTCTAATTAGCCCCTTAATGTAAAAAAGTGTATTTTTAGAAAACAAATATCGTGAGAATCCGCGGTGCAGAATTCGCGACTCTGTTCACCTCGTTGCAAAATCGAGATGGTTAGGCCCGCTCACTTTGTCAGTGGATTTGTCTCCAAGATCGTGAGATCTTTTTGACGTCAGGCTCCTGACACTAGTTAACATACTTTGCAAAAAATATAATGCTCTTTAGGATTGATAAAGAATAATTAATATCTAATGTAGATTTCTGATAGTTTCGGTCCAATTACTGAACCCATGGAAATTCCATCAGTTCGGCGATAAAAGTTTTCTATTACTGTAAAATAATTATTAGCCAGTGAAAAACTAATTAGGTCTCTTAAATAATTTGAAACTCCATACTTACTTAGACTCTATGTAATAATATCATTATTGACAGAAGGGTACATCAATGTTATATCCATGCTCATGAACCAGTAGTGTGTTGTCCTTGGAAGCAGAGGAAGGTTTCTTTAATCATTTCTAAAGTAATAGATGGATACATTGATTTACTGTAACATCAAGTCTCATAATACGATAATTTTGTTTAATTTTACCTTTTAATAGTCCATTGATCAATTCATTTGTGTTCTGTACGCCATAAACTGATTTATCTATTACCTGTAAGTAGGTTTTTAAATAATATTCAAGATTATATAATATAGAATTCTTAAAGTCTACTAAAGGTCTACAAGTGTTTCCCGGTTTATGTGTCTTGAGTCTTAAGTTTAATTTAGGTTCTCTTATGTTATTAAAGTCTATTATATTCTTTACCTGTTAACTTGAAAATTCATTCTTATATTTCTTCATTAATTTAGTAAGATTATTTTGTATTTTTTTAAAGGGTCTGTTGACAAACGTTCATATTCATTACTCGAAATCGGATATGAGAGAATAGTTTTAAGTTTAGTATTTCTATGATTTTTTTACCGATTCCATTGTTTTAAATTCTGTGAATACAGTAGAACCTCGATTATCCGGACCTCTATTATCCGGATGTTCAGAATAAAAACTTTACGATTTTGCTGATTTGCACTTGGCGAATTACGACACTGTTTATGTATGTGACGGAATGCATAACATTTTTCGTTTCAACAACATTTCACCCGGCACAGTGGTCGTAAACTTTTAAATATATTTTGCGTTGTAATAAAAATATAACTTGACATACGTATTTATAAATAATTTATATTCAAATTACATCATTTCTATGACCAAGGGCGGCGTAAGGCATGGGCAACGTGGGCCACCGCCTATGTCTCGCGGTCCGAAGGGCCTCGCGCCTCGAAGGTTTATGCATTACTTAAAAGACGAGAACACGACGAAAAAATTTTACTCGTCATAAAACGATCAATAGTTTGTCAAATTTTTATTCATAAAAACGCAGTTTCAACTGCTTTTTATTTTATAAAATCCGTCTTCTTGAGCCATCAGAGGGCCTTTTAAACAATAGCTAGTCTGTTAGCGCTGGTCAGTAGTAGTCTAAATTCAATACGAACGTTTGTTTCTTGAAAATTTGATCACGATTTAAATACAGTATTTATTTTTAATATTACCGATATGTCATCGAAAAGAAAACGTGTTATATTATCATTAAAAGACAAATTAAAATATTTGTTTCGATTATCCGGATTTTTTCTTATCCGGACTACCTTTTTCCTCAATTAGTCCGGATAATCGAGGTTCTACAGTATATTTGTATTTATACAATTGAATAATATTTTGTACCAGATATGTACTGTACATCCACCACACGTTTTATTTCACCAAGTAATTTTTTATAATTTTATTTCTAATTTTAGCTATTATATCGATTCAGAATATCTTCTTCTTCTTCTTCAGCTTTTCCCACACTATGTAGGGTCGTTGTTTCTGATGAGTCGTCTCCACTGCTCCCTGTCCTGGGCTGCCTCCACATTCAGATGCTTTTCTCTCAAGTCCTCCTCCACAAGATCCATCCACCTCATCTGCATAACCCTTCTTCCCACGTACCCTTTTCCCTCCGTGCCACATGACCAAACCATTTCAACCTCGCTTCCTGTATCTTTGCTTCTATGTTCACAACTTTCACTGTCCCCCTCACACATTCATTTCGAATGTGATCCCGTCTCGTAACCCCACACATCCAACGGAGCATCCTCATCTCCGCCACCTCCATCCTTTTGACATGGGTTTTCCTTAAGCTCACAGTCTCAATTGCGTACAGCATAGCTGGTCTCACCACCATCCAATAAACTTTTCCTTTCAACCTAAGTGGCACCCTCTTATCACACAACACTCCTGACATATCCCTCCAATTCCGCCAACCAGCCTGAATCCTGCCTGTCACCTCCTTATCCACACTTCCATCCTCAGCAGAATATAATTGTTACAGGTATACCTCGCCTTACGTCGGTAATTGGTTCCAGGAAAACGACGTAAGTCGAATTTACCTGTCTCCGAATCTACTTATCACTAGGAAAGCATTTTAAATAATATATGGTTAATAAAAATCTATTTTAAGCTTACAAACAAAGTGCTTTAAACGTTTATCTAGTGATATTACGACTTTAATATTTGTGGCGGACAGACGTAAAGTCGAATAAAATGACTTAAACTTGATTTTTATTTTTCCATATACTTTTTTAACAAGCGACGTATAATCGGGAACGACGTAACTCGAAACCGACGTAAGTCGAGTTTTTATTTTTCCATATACTTTTTTAACAAGCGACGTATAATCGGGAACGACGTAACTCGAAACGACATAAGTCGAGGTATGCCTGTATATTAAAAATACATTTAGAGAAGTCTACTGTTTCTACTGACTTATCGAACAAACGAATATGAATGGATCCTAGTCCATAACTGATTGTCCCTGCAAGTCAGCTATTTACAGAAACACAGCTTTCCTATCATCAAACGCCACGGCATGCCACTGTCATGAACTTATATTCAGGCAAAATTTCTTTTTTTTTTTAATTTCGATACTAAATCGTCTGCATTTTTTACGCTGTATTCTGAATTTGACATAACTTTTGAACGTAAACGAACGTCTGTCTGTAAAAATGTATGATTTACAAAATTTCATAGTCAAGCATTAACTTTATCTCTATTTAATTCAACTTTATCTCTATTTTTTCGATAAAGTTGAATTGTAAAAACTTTATTTAACAATTATTTCCGAACTATTAGAACTTTTTATGGTTGTGATGTTTTTAACGCTTTAATTTCGTACAATACTTGAATGAACATCTGTACGATTTTATCTAATATTGATTTCGGTGGATAAAATGGTTTCGAGTGATGGCTAAAGCGGCTTGTGTACACTAGATACCTCTTTAAATCTTCCGTTCCCGAAATTCATATCCTGAAGTATGAATAAACCCTGTTTAACTATTTTCGTTATCAGTTTCTGTACGATTCGTCCTCTCAATCAATTTTATGCTTACTCCTAACAATTATAACGATAAGAAGAAATCATGTTAAGATGTCAACAAAATTTTCCATTCAGAAAGTTTACGTTGTAGGTTTTGAAGCCTGAACAGGTCGTTCTTATTGTAGGTAGAGCTGAAGCCGTGACAGGTATGACTAAAAATTATCATAAAATGGAACGAGGGGGAAAAATGCAAGAATTTCCAAATAACTGCAGAAAAACAATTCTTTTTCATATTCTTACAGAGTAGAAAAATTTTCACTTGTTACAATGGTATAATAATATTTTAATTTAGATAAACAACTTTTAAAGACGTGTTTTCGTCATTTTTTCTACGTGCGGAATACATAGGAATGCTATTGTATTTTTATCTAAGAAAGTTAAAGTGACTAATATTTAAAATTAGAATAAACTGAAATATAACGAGAGTTTCTGAGCACTAGTAAGTTGCAGATACACAAATAATTAGATATTTTGGTCGATTTTTCCCCAAATTATTAAGAAAAAATAAGTACACAATTATATTCTTAGAAGTATAAAAGTATACAAGTAGAAAATTTTCTTTTCAATTTTGTAATAAAAAGAAACATTTTTACTTGTATACTTTTGAATATATGCCTGTAATAAACAATGAAATAATAAGATAATATATTTTCGTAAATTCATGCAAATACAAAATATCTAATATACGAAATTACGAAATGTCAAGCTATTTTTCCCCAAATTGTAATTTTACAACTTATTGCAAATATTATTATAAACACTTTAATTATATTTCAATTAAATACAATTATACCTATATTATTGAATACATTTAAATATATCGAATAAAGAAATACATTTAATCAATATTGTTACAAATCAACTTAATTATATTTGGAATCATAATATCTTCAAGTGTATTAATCAGATTAAAATAATTGATATTATTAGACTTTATTGTTGTCATTGTTCTGATTTTCATGCAAATTATCAATTCTGCATTCTTCGTTTCTATTAACTTTTTTCTTCTTACAGAGAAAATCAACTCTTTTATTAATAAGATAATTCAAAGGTGTTTCCACAAATAAATGCATGAGTAACGACGCTATCAAAGTTAGGCCCATCACCATTAGGAACAACATCCACTAACAAATAAAAAAATATTCATTAATTAAAAAAAATAAATTTTGATTTTTATTAAATAACAATATCTTTTATTCTTAAAAACATTTTATGATGTTACTTATGTTTTAAAAGCTTACATTTATACCTCGATGTAACGCTTTCGTGTATAATGCCAAAAATTACTTCTGTATTTATACACATCTTTATGTTATATATTTATATCAGGTTACATCAAAGATAAGAAAGTTCCTCCACATATGTCTTATCATGTAAGGACATAGTTGCCTCATCCTTACTTTACCTTATATGAAGGGAGTTTAAGTTTTCTGGGTGTAGAAACTTTCTAAATTTTAGTCACTCGTGACAATATATAAAAGCAAAATTTCCACACCACATGAATAAGTTTTCTGTATATTTCTAATTTTCAAGCATTCGTTTTTTTCTCACTTACTTATCAAATAATGTTAAATAAAACACAGGACTGTACAGAAAAAGGGTCTCCAGAACCATTATTCTGGAGAAGAATGATCTTTATATCTTCGAATTTGGAAAACTTTGAGATATTCCAAACCAGAATTCACTCAAAGTCTCAGATTAATGGACAACATTTACTGTTGATTTTCCTGTAAAGTATATTCGAGAAATGTGCCCGTATATTTATGAACCAATATCACATTTTATCCATAATTCTCTATGAGCAATATCACATTTTATCATAATTCTCTATGAGCCATAGGCTCATAGAGAATTATGGATTAATTTCACTTTCGATAAACCAGGTGTCTGAACATATCATATAATTGATTTTTCGATCAAGCCGTTTTTATTTCATTGGTAATTTAAGCCAACTTTCTCATCTATCCAAAAGCACATAAACAAGAAGTAATTTCTCGTATTGGTTATTAACAAAATTTCACTATAATACTGTGATTTTTACATTATCGCTCTGTTAACTATAACAGAGGAAATAGGTCAAACAGAGAGCCTCCAAGATTTTAACATTTCTGGAACAGGGACCTCGATACATCGAGAAATATAAATCATTCAGGGAATTTACTGAATGTACGCATATTAGTGTGTGTGTGTGTGTGTATGTGGGGAGGACACCATTTTGATCATCTTTTTTGAAGCTTAATAACTCTCTTGCTTTAAGTTGAAATTTTTAAAAATTTTTACAGGGAGGTTTATTATTACGGGAGTCAAGCTATTCAATGTTGGTGGTTAAAGGTACCGAAAGTGAAAAAATAAAGAGAGATTGTGTACGACTCGTGTTTATGGAGTGTACAATTGTTTGAAATAAGTCAAAGGCAATGGTAAAAACTACTGAACTAACTTAATTATAATAATTAACTATGTACAAAGACTAGGCAGCCATCTTTCTGCTTCGTCTTATCAAAAACAACTAGTGCCCCCCTTTTTTTTCTTCTCTCGCCTCCTCGCGGGATTTCTCTATAAAAACTTCTTACATCTCGGCTACGACTGCTTTTAGACAAAAAATAGCTTTTGTTTAAAATTCTTCTCTATCTTCTAGAGACATTAGTAACAGTTATTTTTGTTTGTAGCTTCATTTGCACGTTGTCTTTCTCGATAGGTTCTTTGATAGTAAGGACAAATCTGACTTACGAGTACGATTCTGTTGTCATCATCTTGAATTCCTTCAATGAGATAGGTGACAGGATTAATCATCCTCTTTACTACATATGGACCTTTCCATTTGCTCTGAAATTTATGTCTGTTTAAACGACGGTATAATACTAAATCGTGTTCCTTAATCTTAGATTTGTGCTTATTTTTGTCAAAAGATGTTTTATTCTGATCATGAGCTTCAGCAAGATTTTCAACTGCTTGTACTCGATTAATAAATAGCTGAGTCAATCTATTCTCAGCGTCTTTCAATATTCTAATTATGCTGTCTAATTTTGGGTCGTTGCCTTGATGGCGTTTGATTTCACTAAAGATTTTCCTCTCCATGCTTAGCGTTTGTACGTTCAATTGTTGGATTGGATTTCTAGATAAAATGTCAGGTAGTACGTTGGTAGCTCCTTTCTTATGCTTAACATCATATTCATATTCCTGTAACTCTAAAGCTATGCGAGCGAGTTTTCGTCCAAGTTTTCTTTTAGTCTTCAAACAACTGATTGCCCAGTTATCAGTGTATAGGGTAAATTTCTTTCCAACCAAATAATGTCGAAATCTTTCACAGATGGCCCAGTGTACTGCGATCCCTTCGAGCTCGGTCGAATGAAGAATGCGTTCTGTATCACTGGTACTTCGACTTGCATATTCAACAACAACTTTCTTTCCATTTTGTACCTGCATGAGTACTGCTGCGATACCTTCTTGACAGGCATCAGTGTGTACCTCAGTTACAGCATCAGGGTCAAAGTGAGCAAGTATAGGTGCTTCCCTCAGACATTGAATCAATCTTTTAAAGCTATCTTGAGTTTCTTCGTTCCATTCATAGTTGTTTAATTTCATCATTCGTCTTAATGGTGCTGAAATCAAGGCATAGTTTGGAATAAACCTCCTGTAGTACGACATAAGTCCCAGGAAAGATTGTAACTGTTTCTTGGTCGTAGGCGTTTTTATGTGACTAACAGCCTCTGTTTTCTTTGGATTCGGTCGTTTACCATCTCCATTCACAAGGTATCCCAAACAAGAAATTTCTCTTAATCCCCATTGGCATTTCTGTGGTGATATCCTTAAATGAGCTTTTGCTAGTATTGTTAGTACTGTTTTGATTAAGTTCTTGTGGTGTTCGTAATCTGATGAAAACAAAATGATGTCATCTAGGTAAACTAGTATCCCTTCTTGTCCTTGAAATAATTCTGACATCGCCCTCTGAAAAGTGGCTGGAGCGTTACATAATCCAAACGGCATTTTGTTAAACTCGTACAATCCGTCTGCTGTAATGAACGCTGTCTTATGTATATCTTCTTCTGCCATCGGAATTTGCCAGTAACCACTCTTAAGGTCAAGAGACGAAAAATATTTGGCATTATGTAACTTATCTAGAATATCATCTATTCTTGGTAATGGAAATGAGTCGCGTTTTGTCTTGCTATTCAGGTCCCGATAATCAATACAAAGTCGTATTTTTGTCGTAACATGGTGAGGTTGTTTGGCTAATACGACTGGAGATGCATACTGTGAATTCGACCTTCGTATAATGTTTGACGAAAGCATTTCCTTTATTTTTTCATTAATAAATTCTCGATCACTCCAAGAATAATGGTATGGTGTTTTCCTTACTGGTGTTTTGTCTGTCAGTTCTATACGATGATGAACTCTATTATATTCTCCCGGTTCATTTTGCAATATACGGTCATATTGTCTAATTAACAGTTCAATTTCCTTCCTTTGTTCTTCATTTAACATTTGATTTCTGGCTCTCTGTACTTTGAAGTATGAACTCCTCTGGGTTTGATAGTTCATCACATTCCTCGGGTTGGGAATGATAGTTCCATTGGTCTTCAAACGTAGTCTTACTCTCCGTTGTATGTATTGCTACAGCACTAGGAAGTAACAAGCATGATTCTTGTATTGCTTCTTCAATGGGAGGTTGTGCTGGAATCACATTACCATCTCTTGTGACTATTTCACACTTATCTTTCTTCAATATCACTTTCACTCCAGCTTGGCTAATCCAATCTATTCCCAAAGTCAAAGGAACTGGGTTGTTCTCGAACACGGCCGTTTTCACTGTGGTGACTTGGCCTTGCAACCGAATAGGTAGATCAACAAATCTAATTGGTTTCACCTTTGTCATGTCAATACCAGTAGACTCTGTGGTGTTGTCATCTAACATCCTTATACCATCAGGTAATTGATCCCGACGAATTATTGTACGACATGAACCTGTATCAACAAGGGCTCTTATCTTTCCTATCATTGACACTTCAACATTAATATATGGGCTATGAACTTTAGAAGCGTTAGCATTGATGTTTAAAGCATTGCTCTTTTGTTTTTGTTTCTTACTGTCTTTAATCTCTTTTGAGCCTCCTCTTTCAGCTTTATATTCATTGGTCTGTGCAATATTTTCATTTGGACAGGTCTTGGCTAGATGTCCTAACTGTTGACATTTGTAACATCGGGTCATTTGTAAAGGCATCTGAGCATTCCACTTGGGGTTTCTTCTTATCGACTTCTCGTCTGTACGTTTAATAAAATCAACTGCAATAGCTGGATCCTTTACTAGAGCATTCGTATTATTTGAGAACTTGTGAGGTTGTTGAACTTGAGTCTTCATATGCATCCTGGCCTCAGTCTCTTGCTCATCTATCTTGCGTGCTATACGCTGTAGTTCAGCAATACTGTGTACATCATGAGTAGCAATAGTAATTGTGTATTGTTTATTTTTTATTCCATCCAGCAAATAATCAATTTCGTCAACTTCAGTAACATTTACAGGACAGTTGGTACGCAACAAACACAGCTTAGCATAGAAATAATCTGTGAGACTTTCATCTTGTCTTTGTTCTCTTTCTTTCACTCTGTCACACCACATTCTCAATGTCAGTCTTTTACCAAATTCGCTTTTTAAGCTTGTCTTCCATTCAGTCCAATTGTTAAGCTGGTAACCAATTGCTTTATGCCAGTTTTTCGCTGTTCCTCTCAGTTTGCTGATGGCTAGCGGAAGAACTTGGGTCTCAGCTAGTCTCTGTTGATTTCGAGTCAATTCAATATAATTCAACCATTCGTCAGCACTCTCTGTAGTAGTACCACCAAATTCAGGAAGAGAACTCGTCAGCTAGTCTCTGTTGATTTCGAGTCAATTCAATATAATTCAACCATTCGTCAGCACTCTCTGTAGTAGTACCACCAAATTCAAAAAAAGAACTTGTCAAATCAGGTACAGTTTGGATTTTAATAACTGTCTCCTTTAAGTTTCGCACTGCCTGTTGCTGGTTATCTATTAATAATATTACTTTTTCCATTAGCGTTTGCATCATACTCATAGGATTTGGATTTACAGCTTGATGTTCAGAAGGAGATTCGTTAACGACTTGTTCCTCTTTTGCCTTGCTAGTTTCGCTAACATTTTCTTTTTCACTTAACATTGCGCTAGTTACTCGTTCTATTAGTTCAGATTTTTTACCAATTCATGATAATTGCCTTTTCTCCAATTCCTCTTTCAAATATTTAATGGTCCTTCCTTCTAAATCATGTTTAATTTCTTCAACCGCAGACATATTAGCTTCTAACCGAATCACGATCGTCAACTTAAATTCTTTACTTTTTGTCTAATATCGGCGCTAAATCTTTAAGCTATTGCTTCCTAGAGTTAGCTCTTAAGCTTTTCTATGACTTTGATTCGGTTACGACTAAAATTTTACACTTTTAACTTCAATCTTAAACTTCAAGACTTCCTACCTTCGTCCGTGCGCCTTACTTGTTTCGGCTCGTTTCTTGTAGACGTGGTTGGTAGTGGCACATTCAGCTAATCCTGTCGACTGCGCCAATTCTTGTACGACTCGTGTTTATAGAGTGTAGAATTGTTTGAAATAAGTCAAAGGCAATGGTAAAAACTACTGAACTAACTTTAATTATAATAATTAACTATGTACAAAGACTAGGCAGCCATTTTCTGCTTCGTCTTATCAAAAACAACTAGTGCCCCCTGCTTTTTTTCTTCTCTTGCCTCTTCGCGGGATTTCTCTATAAAAACTTCTTACAGATTGTACATCTTATTTCGAGTAGAATCCGGCGTTATGACAATTTCAGCGTTAGTAGTGCAGCGACAAATCACGGACTGGTGAGATGGTGCCACTCCTCTTCGAGTTTTTCGTGAATCCCGGATAGAAAAACGGGAACTGGGTTTTTCCCAGAGAGAGAATTCTGGGTATTGTTGCTTCTTCTTCTTGTCGGGTGATCGCTGCCATGAGCACGTGTAGCTCTCTTTCAAGTGTACGCGAGGATTGTTGTAAATAAGTGTTGTTTTAGTTTAAAACGTGGTCGTGGACTTAACTAATTCACGTTTACAGCCTTCTGATAAAGACAGTCTTTGTGGAGATGTAAATGGATGGAGAAAAACGGCCAGGTTTCGTCTAACCGATGGCGGCCATCCATTACCTCCAGTGGTGACCCTAACGTGATTCGACGTGAATTCGAACACCAAAGAAAGAACAATACCTTTACTAGTACTACATTGTGTTCCCTCAGTGGATAGTACGAAATAAATTCCGCGACTACGATAGACGACGCTTCTTGGATAGGTGAAACCGGCGAAATTGTCCTCACATTTGTGCGTCGGCAACCTCTTGCCAGAATGTCATCTAACACGGGTAAGTGGAGTTTTCTGTTCCATATTTTTTGCTGTTCTGCTGAGTAGGTATTCCCTGGTTGCCTTAAAATGCCAAACGAAATCGATCTTAAGCCAGAAAGCAGTCGGATAGCTCTTAAACTTCCCCAATTTTGGGATAAAAAAGCCGATTTATGGTTTATTAATATCGAGGTCCAGTTTAAACTCGCCGATATATCGCAAGATACTACTAAGTATTACGCAGTGGTTTCAGCTCTCAACTCGGAAGTGTTAGCGTACGTGAGCGATATCGTTAAAAACCCTCCTAGGGAAAATTTATATCAAATACTAAAAGATCGACTCATAGCAGAATTTTCCGATTCCAAACAAAAACGAGTGAAAGATTTGCTGTCTAATGCCGTGTTAGGAGATGATAAACCATCTCATCTTTTACGCAAAATGCGACAACTAGCTAGTAATAAAGTCGGGGAGGAATTTTTAAGAACGCTATGGATTCAGCGTTTACCCAAAGAAACTCAGGCAATTCTTTCTGTTTCCGATGGGGATTTAGACAAATTAGCCCAAATGGCCGATAAAATTCTTGAGCTCACACCTTTGCAAATAGCCAAAACTAATTTAGCAAGGAACGAAAATAGTACACACGCGGCCATAATGAAGCTCCAAACGCAGGTCGCTGAGTTAACAGAGCAAGTTAATCGCCTAGCAAGGCCCAGCAACAGATAATCACGCGATTATAGACACCCCCGGAATTGATCTCGGAATTGTCGGCGTTCGCAGACACCTGTTCGACCCCAGGCAAAAGACCTATGCTGGTATCACGCGAAGTTCGGTGATCAAGCAAATAAATGTAAGGCCCCTTGCAAATTCCGAGATCAGGGAAACTAGCTCGGAAATCACACGTGGCGCAATGTGATTTCCAAATTAACAAAACAAGCCGCCTATTCGTTTACGATCCAACCTCACGTCGTCACTACCTAATCGACAGTGGTAGCGACATTTGCGTTCTACCATATAACGCCGCCATGGCATTAAGAGCACCCGCCTCATTGACACCTTATTCGGCCAACAATTCCTTGATAAAGACTTACAGCACAAAAACCATAACCGTGTCCCTAAACTTAAGGCGCCAATTTACGTGGCCTTTTGTAATCGCAAACATCAGCAAACCAATAATAGGCGCCGATTTCATAAGAATCTTTGGTCTCCTGATCGACTTAAAAAACGCCCGCATTACAGACCCATTAACGTCCTTGACAACGACAGGGTCTGCTCACCACGGCGCGCAAAATAACATTACTTTAATTGCTTCTAATTCGGAATTCAGCGACATTTTAAACAAATATAAAGATATCCTTCAACCATATCCAGCTAGCACCAAACCCAAACATAACACAGTCCACCGTATTATTACCAAAGGACATAGCGTTTTATCTCATCCCCGCCGTCTTAATCCCAAACAGCTGGAAATCGCAAAAAAAAAATTCCAGTTAATGTTAGAACTAGGTATTTGTCGGCCGAGTAATTCCAATTGGTCCAACCCACTGCACTTAGTACCCAAACCGAACGGGGACTATCGTCCCACCGGGGATTACCGGGCCCTTAATAGAATAACGGTGCCGAACAGGTACCCACTGCCTCATCTACAAGATTTTGCTCAGAATTTATACGGGAAGGCTATATTTTCCAAAATAGACCTAACGCGAGCATATCATCAGATCTTGGTCCACCCCGAAGACGTATCCAAGACTGCAATTACAACACCTTTCGGCCTTTATGAATTTTTATACATGCCGTTTGGGTTGTCCAACGCGACACAAACTTTCCAGAGGTTTATGCACGAAGTCTTACATGGATTAGATTTTGTTTTTGTCTACATAGACGACATCCTCCTGTTGGCAAGTAAGACAAAGGAGGAACATTACGTGCATCTGGAAAAAGTACTCGGACGTTTATCAGAATATGGTATCCGAATAAACCCAGAGAAATGCATACTCAATACAAATGAATTACCTTTCCTAGGTTATTTAGTCAACGCCAGCGGAATCAAACCTCTCCCCCAGAAAGTAGAAGCCATCATAAAGATCGAGCGACCCAAAACAGTAAAGGAGCTCCGTAGGTTTTTAGGCATGTTGAACTACTACCGCCGTAATATTCCATATGCTGTGCAGGCTCAAGCCCTGCTTTGTGACTATTTGAAAGGCGCAAAACAATCCGACAATGCGGAAATTTCATGGACAGACGAAGCAAAAAAGGCATTAGAGGAATCCAAAACTCGATTAGCAAACGCAGCTCTACTAGCTCATCCAGCCCCGGACACACATTTAGCGTTGCAGGTTGATGCATCGGAGTTCGCTCTGGGCGCCGCGCTGCATCAGGTCACTAAAGCCGGCACAGAGCCGGTAGGTTTTTTTTCGCGCAAACTTACAGATACGGAGAAGAAATATTCGACATACGATCGCGAGCTGTTAGCCGCTTACTCGGCAATTAAGCATTTTCGTTTTATGGTGGAAGCTAGACCTTTCACGTTATATACAGATCACAAACCATTGACATTCGCTTTTCTCCAGAAAAGCGAAAAATGCTCACCCAGACAATTACGTCAATTAGACTATATAGGCCAGTTCACCACTGACATTCGATACATAAAAGGAACTGATAATATTCCGACCGATACACTTTCCAGAGTCGAATCTATTGTTTGCCCTTCTCCCATAAATTACAAATTAATTGCTGATGCACAAAAGACTGACCCAAACCTCCAATCACTTTTGGGAAATAGTTCGACTAGTCTACAGCTTAAAAAACTAATATTACCAGAAAATCAAGTAGAATTGTACTGTGATGTGTCCAGTACAATTGTACTCGGGAATAAAAGTGCGGTAAGATTCGCCCTTTTATTCCCGAAACGCAAAGGCAATCAGTTTTCCATGCCATGCATGACCTTTCGCACCCAGGCAGTAAAGCCACAGTGAAGCTAATAACCGATCGGTTCATATGGCCGGGCATGGAGGGTGACTGTCGCAAGTGGACAACTACGTGCATTCCTTGCCAACGCGTCAAAATTACTAGACATACTAAAAGTCCAATTACAAGCATCCCCGTGGAAAACAAACGTTTCTATCACATCCACATCGACCTTATTGGTCCACTCCCTCCTTCCGCAAATCATTGTTATTGTCTCACTATGATCGACAGATATACTCGTTGGGTTGAAGCAGAACCACTGCAGGATATAGAGGCCGACACTGTGGCTAAAGCCTTATACCGAACGTGGATAGCTCGGTTCAGCGTTCCACGGGTCATTACCACCGACCAGGGACACCAATTTGAATCACAATTGTTTTGGTCTTTGGCTATTCTAAAGGGGTTCCAAGCACATACATGCTCCTTTCACCCCCAGGCTAATGGTATGATCGAAGGTTGGCATCAGACATTAAAATGTGCCCTGAAAACCTACTTAGCAGAACGGTGGACAGAGATACTCCCTACCGTACTACTTGGGTTAAGGACAACGTTCAAGCCTGACCTACAAGCAACGTCCAGTGAGTGAGTCTACGGACAGACAATACGTTTACCAGGTGAATTCTTTGATCCTACCCCAGCGGACATAAACACTGCAGATTTCATAAAGACACTAAAGTCTTTCTTCAAAAACTTAACATTAATGCCAGCAGCATCGCATGTGGAGCCCAAACTTTTTGTTCCCATGCATTTAAGAGACTGTAGCCACGTTTTTATACGTTACGATGCTGTACGCGCCCCACTACGCCCTCCTACGACGGACCATTCCCCGTAGTGGAAAAGGGAGACAAATTCTTCAAAATTAAAAAAAATAACAAAGAAGTGGTCGTCTCCATCAACAGACTGAAACATGCCTTTATGCTCAAGGAGAAAGACTCAATCAGCCCTGCACAGCCGGTGATAGACCAACCCAGCAACAAGATGGCTGGGCATACTCACCAACCAGAACCCGCATACGAGACGAAGACCTCACGACATGGCCGCAAAATCAAACCCCCAGTGAGATTCATCGATCGCGGTCGGTAGGAGGGGTGTATTGCGGCGACAAATCACGGACTGGTGAGATGGCGTCACTCCTCTACGAGTTTCCCGTGAATCCCGGATAGAAAAACGGGGACTAGGTTTTTCCCAGAGAGAATTCTAGGTATTGTTGCTTCTTCTTGTCGGGTGATCGCTGCCATGGGCACGTGTAGCTCTCTTTCAAGTGTACTCGAGGATTGTTGTAAATAGATGTTGTTTTAGTTTAAAACGTGGTCATGGACTTAACTAATTCACGTTTACAGCCTTCTGATAAAGACAGTCTTTGTGGAGATGTAAATGGATGGAGAAAGACGGCCAGGTTTCGTCTAACCAATGGCGGCCATCCATTACCTCCAGTAGCATTTACAATTTTTTATAAAACCCATCTTTATATTCAAAATTATGTTTTTTGCCATTTGATAATAATTAAAAATATAGTTTTAGTAATAAAACACAATTACATGATGCCACATTTGTAGTTTTGAATGTTTCCGGGAAAGTTAAGCAACTCTTCGCTGAATTTTTATTATTTATTATTTCTTATTAAACTGATCTTACCAGAGTTATTGCTGATGCGTAAAGACCTTTCCGTAAATGACCGTAAATATACATTAAAACTGGTACGTGAAGCATGTAGATCCAAATAATTAAATTATCCAACATACAAAATATTCGCAATGAGAAAATTCGATTACAGATACCTGTAATAAAATCATGCTATTAATATGAAATAAGAAATCAATTTAGAAATAGAATACTTAAACAATAGCCAAATTTTATGTGAAATTGCTTCAAAATTCATTTACTTACCACCGTATCCTGTAATGCATGCAACAGAAATCCATGTCGTAGCCGCAGTAAAAGCAAATGGCGATAACGTGTGATGTAAATATACTATAGTGTCGTTTGGTGACGTTTCTCTTTTATAACCGTGCAATCCAAATATTGCCAGCATTATCAATATGATACTACCGATCCAAAATACCAGAAGGGTTTTCTGTAATGTTATTTAAAACTGTTTCAGGCAATCATATATTATTATTAGGATAAAAATAGAGAAATTTAATACTTCTTTATATGGCTACGTGAATATACAGGGAGTAGGGAAAATGGGAAGTTAGAGGTGAGTGTTAAGTATCCTTTGCTCAACTCGGAATTTGATTTATGCTCGAAATTAATTGTGGTAATCCCTTTATATATGCATTAGAAGTAAGAATGTGCACAATTCCCTCTTATTGCGCGTATGTTTTCTTTTATTCTTGTTCTCAATGTCCTTTTTGTTTCACCTACATAAGTTTTGTATGGATCACAATTACAAGTAAATGAATAAACTTTTTTTTTCTTCCATTAAATTAAAGGGAAAAATGCAAATTCTGCTGTAGCAGAACACTGTAATAATTATGGTTGCCAAATAAATATAAATACAATGAAAATTAAAAAGTAAGAGTCTAATAATTACAAAAGACAATTATATGACCATATAAATATAAAGAAAGAAATAGAAAAAATTATAATTTAGGAAGAATAATCCACAAATCCTGGGACACCATACTTGATGACGTTTACAAAGTGCAAAGCCTATATATGGTTGATAGATCACCTTATCTTACATATATGGCAAACAGTGTATAGCTGTAACTGAACACCACAGTTTCGTTTGGATAATGCTCTTAAAAGACGTG